ACGACCAAAGTTTTTAGCTTTACGCTACTTTACAATTTTGAGGCACGTTGTGGCATTCATTTGACTTGTAGATCATTGAATGGTTTAACCTTTGAAAATCATTCCTTCATTATGTTCTTTTTTTTTGATTTACGACTATTTTGTATTAGCGTTATTCATATTAGTGGAATTATGAAGGAAAGCTAGCATAGCTATATTTACTCTGCCATAAGTCTTTTTACTTGTCTCTTCACCGGCTCATCATTTGAAGTATCAGAACTGTTTGTTTACTGCTTTTTTTCGCCAACATTAACCGTCTGAGAAGCACAATTTTTTATTCAGAAGAGCCAATTTTAGTATTTTTAGGTCTGACAATACAGTTATTTTTTGTGTGCTGTTAATCAAATTGTGGGGATGTAAACACGTTGGCATGAATTATAATTTTATTTTTTAATTGATTCCTATTTCTTTATCTTGCTCTGTTGTTTTGTTAATACAAGAGAATTTTTAAAATGAAAAAAAAAAAAGAAAATAGAAATATGTCTGGAATTCAAGTAGGAGGTTTTTTTGTATTCTTTAAGGACTTTCTCTTGCTTTTTCACTGAACTCACCCAAACATCAAATGACTGGAAAATTTTTCTACCAGCGTGACTTGAAGTAAAATGTAGTTGAAAAAAAAAAAAGAAAGGTGTGACCCGGTTAATTTTTTCTTCCTCATTTGCTGTAACATTTTCACCTCCAAAATAACGATTAATCAGCTCACCATTTTCTATTTTTTTTATTTCCAAAAATTCGTTCACCTTCTTTAGTACCTCCTTACTTTTGTGCTCGGCCTCATTTTTATATACTTGACTGCAATCAGACATACTTGTAGCACTTTTTTTGACGAAGGATGCGCCTAAATAACATGTTCGAATCAAGTGAAACAGTCTAACGACTTTGAAGACAAACAATAGTCATTCTTTATAGAACGTAAAAACGCTAAATGTTGTTTATAACTTTCCCAGGCAATTGTTCCTTTACGGCTGATGGAGATTTATAGCAAATATGAGGTGTAAAGATGATACTTGCTTGCTGGATTCATCTGTATGGCAAGAGCTTTGCTAATAGTGGTAACTAGGGAAAAGCCGGATTATCAGGAAGCGGAAAGTTACATTTTATGAATAAGTGATTTGTACCGCAAAATTAACAAGACAGATACTATCAGACTTTAAGCAGGACAGATTGCTACTGTTGTTGACTTTAACTTTATTTCAAAAGTTTTGAAGGAATGAGTTAGCAGTAAAAATTTATCCTTACTTAATCATTCGGCAACTATATATAGTTGTTTTGTTTATCCAGCAACCTTTTTCAGCAAAGAAAACAGTTTAACGGCTATTTGTAGTAAACCTTGCTTTCAGGTACTAATGACAGCTGAGAAAAACAGTGGTTCTTTATTTCAGTCAAAAAAAATACTGGTATACAAACATCGAATTTATTGCTGATACGGAACAATCAAAACTTAACCGTGGACGAAGGTTACATCAAAAAAAAGAGGCTACAAATACTTGGAATAATGATTTATCTGTGATTATCAGTTTTGAAGAAAGTAACAGAAAAGACAAAGCGGCGGTTTAGGCAATTGGTAAAATCGAATTACTGCCGGTAAATTTGGTCATATGGCTAGGAATTGTAAGGAAGAAGGAAGAGCTTATGACAAAAGCAAAAATGGAAAACTGGAATACTAGTATAAGCGATTTTTTTGTCTCGTAGTTAGAAAAAGAAGAAAAAAATGCTGTTACTCAACTGCTGAAAAAAAGTAAGAAAGAAGAAAAATTAGATTGTGCGTATGGTAACAGAAGATAACTCTGTGTAAACAACATTTTCCACAAATATTTATAAAATCGTTAATTAAAAATTATGCTAAAATATAATGGACAAAGAAGTCAAAAAAAAAAAAAAAAAAAGCTGCAAAGAGGGGCTATAATAAAAAATAATTTCTCAGCTTAAGCTTTTTCAGCAGTTAATTCAATAGCTTTAATCAGAGGAAAGAAGAAAAAAAATACTAAAAATTGACAGATATTCAGAATGTCAATGGAGTAACAAGTTTTACACGAGTTTTTTTCGCAACAAAAAACCAGCGATCATCGAATTGGTCGATACACACAAACAATATTTCAAAAAAAAAAAAACAAAAATAAGTTGATAGACGAATATTCACTGTATGATGTAAACAGTTGATTCAGATAACAGTTTCGGTAACTGTAACGACGTGTTCCGCACGCTGATTAGTGCGATCATGGAAAATGTTTTAAATCTGTTAACGATTTGACCAAATTAGGTGGTGCTAACACATTGTAAGCTGACCATTCCTAAATGTTTGTTCATTCATATTACACATCTGTGCTTACAGCACGCCACTGTTAAATGCTTCTTAGTCGACTACAGATGTTTTAGTGAAAAAAAATTTCAAACCATCAGTGAACAGATTGAACATTTTGAAAAGATTAACCAATCGATACCATCTATCATACTGATCAAACTATAATATCAACATTCAGTTGGCTTAGAAAGAAAAAATTCAGTATGAAATTATTCAGCTCTGATATGTTTGAAACAGAACTGTAGAAATGCTATGAATTGCTTGAACGAGAAAAAAAAAGAATTTTTTAAAATAAATTAAAAAGAAAACGTTATGTTTTAGAGCTGTTAAAGAAAGAGCATGAAATATCTGTATTGACAATACATCAAATACAAAGAATTGAGGGGTGAATACATCACCGTAACTAAAAGGCAAAAAAAAAAAACTGCAGCTAAATTATCATCAACAGAAACACATTTATGAGCGGGGCTTGATTTTTCCGAATAAATAATCCGTCTTGAACAGAATCAATTTTATATCGCATTAATTACCAATTGTAAACAAAGGATCTACTAGAAGCCTTCAAAAAACTATAGAATCTCTAAAATGAACAATTTAAAATAATGTCTGCAAACAGCTTACAAATTACGATAAAAACATTTAAACCTGAGGCTGATAGTTGACAAAACCACTCGCTGTATGGTCCATTTTTAAAAGACGCTCGTCAAATATTATACCACTGCTACCACTGCTTTGTGAGCTGCTAAATTCCGGCCAGTTTTTCTACAACCATATCATTCTGCATTTTTCTTTTTCAATATCGTTAGCTTTGTAACCCCTCATAAACATTATAATGTGACTTGAATTTTTTTTTGTCTTTCCAGTTAGAAATGTTTCTGTTATTTAACGTCAACGGCAGAAATCAGCTGAGTAACACTAAACAAAAATGACGTTCCACTGAACAAATCAGTTCAAATAGAAGTGGAGAAACAAAACCTCACTAACTCCATAGTCAAGTTCTTTCAACCCTTCGACGATCAGCTCATAAACACGCGCTATTTCTGCCTGCTCGTCAAGTTGCTCATCAATTTTCATTGCCCTCCGCCAGTTAAACTTTTAAAACTTTTAGTCGCCTGAAAAAATAGAAAGAAACGAAGGTAGAAAATGAAAAGAATAAAAGATAACCTATTTCATTAACAATGTTTCTTATACAACCTAATTTACAATTTATGCGGTTACTCACTACGGTGCTGCTTTGAACATCATCTTCAACTTTGATAAAAACAATTGTAATGAAATTCAAAGGTCGGGGAAAAGTGATCAGGTGAGAGAGAAGAACTTGACCTATTTGAGAATCTTTTAATGATCATTTAGGAAGTTGATTAGTTTAATCTACCTCTCAAAACCAAACCAACAAACAATTTTCTTATATTTTGTTTAATAGTTCAAAAAGCCTTACAACTAAATTTACATTTTATTTCTTAAAGAATTAATAATTTTTGGCTCATAGTAAATTTATTGTACAGAGGCGAACTGAAGTCGTAAATCGGAATGAAACAACTTTTTAGTTAATCTTTCATTATGAACAAATCAAAACAAAAAGCTTATAGTCAAAATAAAGTTTTCTTTGATGCAAATTAGATGTTAACAATAAAAAGTCGTTTATTAAAGGACTAGGAAAAGGAGAAGAAACAAAAGATAAAGACTCAAAATACTTGCTTTCAGTGAAAAAAGTATTTGAACAGCAAAAAAAAAATTGTTGAAACTGTTACAAATAAGCGAAGATACGAATTTTGATGGCGACAATCACTCTTAAAAAGTTGCAAGATGCTGATCTTCAAAATACTTTTTTCTGTTGACTCGTTACCTCAAGAACTGAACCTTGAAGACGACTTCCGTTAACACTTGCATGATTGTACTTATATTAAAGGTTATAAAAGTTTTTTTTTTTTTTTTTTTTTTTTTTTT